CAAGATTCCTTTGACTCAGTGAATTTTTACCAAACTGATATCCAGTTTTCCAGAATAATATTCATGGCAGATAACAATAATAGAACAATAGGATGGAATAAAAAATATATCTGCAGTATTGTGGACAGTTATCAAGGAAGACAATTTCAGTGCAGCCCATTTTATTAAGATTAATAGAAATATTCTGTTAAAACTAATTTTGAATGCAGTGTGCTCATATTTTGAATATACACACACACATGCACACACATACGTGTGTATTTTCAATCAGAGTCCATATATACACACACACATATATATACACACACACACACAGACATCTCAACAAATTAATCAAAATGTAAGACATGATAAAGCTTAGAAGGAAATTACAACTGTCAACAACTTTGCAAATGAGATGGCTATTGAAAATTAAATCTAAAGCACTCATAAAGATCATAATGTGGAAAGAGATAAAGGTTTAGTAAACAATTGTTAGGTTTGGATTCTAGCATGTGAAAAAATATACATGTTTGTTTCCAGCATTGATCCAATATATAATATAACCAAATCTTGTAATCTGGATTGGGAAGGAAACTCAAGATTTCTAGGCATTTGGCAAAACTTGAACTGCTCATATAAAGTTCAAAGAGAATGGGTCACAGGTTCTTCTTCTGAACCACCAGTAACCAGACTGACTCAGAGTCAATAGACACAAAGCACTGGCAACTTGGACAACTGATTCGGTTTTTCTATTTCCCCTCGGTGGCTGGGGGGAGACTTTTCTTTTACAAAAGGAATGCTTACAAATAAAAAAGGATTGGTAAATTATAAATGTCTTCAACTAGTGTAGAAATGAATCTTCATAAGAAAACTTTTCTATTTTAATTACCTATTTTCTATTCCACTTCACCTATTTTCTATAAGTTCTTTATCTACACTATATTCTTTAAGGTTCAATTTCACTATACTCTCATATCTTTCTATTTTGTATTTGTAATATATTTGTTTATGGCTGAATTATATATTTCTGTTGTCTTAATCCCTGCATATCTCTTTGTCACTCGCTATAGAGCTTCGCTCCTTTTTCTATACAGTTCAATTTGTTTTTTATCTTTTTTAGTTTCTGTTTTCTATTTCTGTTCTGTCAAAGTGTTTACTTTTTCTTCATCTTTTCTGCTTGTTTATTCAGGGCTGGGCTTCTTGACTCTTCTCCTCTTCTTCCAAATCTTTGCTCTGTCTGAGGGAAACAGCTTGAAGAACTTTTACCTCATGCCCATCTGAGGGAGGGGAAAAAATGCCTCTCTCTCCTCAGTTTTCTCAGCTGCTGCCTCCTTTCCTGTTACCCCTTCTCATCAGGATGATTTGCCTCTTTATTTGGTTCCTGAGCTTTGGCTATGTTTATTCAGCCTCTTCCTCAAGTGGCCTGTGGCTGCAGAGCCCCCAGGCAGCCATCTTGTCTTCCCTCCTTCTTGCCTCCTGTCCAAGACAGCTGTTTGACCGGCAGCTGCTGTTTGATTGGCAGCTGGGTCATCCTGACAATGGGAGAGGGCCAAGAAGGGAGGGGGAAGGAGGAGCACAGGGGCTTCTCATCTGCTCAGGCAGTCTGTTCTTTCCTAAAAGGCTACCTCCATGCTGAAAAATGAAAACCACCAGGAGATGAGGGAAAGTCACTGAAGGATGTTTGTCTTCCAGTAGCAGAAGGATGGTATATTAAGGATGGTAAAAATTATGAATATGAAAGATATGAGAGTGAGTAGGAATGCTGCAATGGTGAAAATGAAAGTAAGGTAAATAAACTCAATCAGACTTGTGCCACTGTAGGCAGTGTTTTTTTAATTGCAATCAAATTATAATCTAGGATGTAAATGTCCTGTCCCAGATGAAACATAGAATACAGAATACAGAATACTTTAATGGCCATATACACGGCCATTAAATAAATATATACAAGGAATTTGTCTTCAGTGACGAACAGCAAGATCAACAGTGCGTTTGGATAGCAACAGAAAAATAATAAACAATAACACTACACAGTAAAATAACTTTTCCAAAGGGAGAAGCCACTGTCCAGCGCATATTGAGTCATGTAGTGTTTAACAGAGCAATGGCACAAGGGAAAAAACTATTCCGATATCTAGATGTTTTAACATATGGTGCTGTGTATACATACAACATATGGTGCTCTGTGGTGTATACATACAACATATGGTGCTCTGTGTTGTATACATACAACATATGGTGCTCTGTATACATACAAAGGAATTCAGGTTCAAAAAGGTTTATTTTGGATTGTGCAATTACAGGCAGTAGCAGGCAGGGCCTGTGTGCAAATGTTCATATAGTTTAGATCAGTCCCAAATCCTTTGGAAGTTTGCTGGTAAGAAGTTTCCAGAAGCCAAATTCCAAAACAGCAAGTGGAAATGTAGTTGGGGCATGGTCCAAAGGTCTCAGCCAGTCCAGGTTCAAGGTGACAGAGTTTCAGGTGCCCAAGATCAAGCTTTCAGGCACATGAGTCTAGGTAACTTTTTTAAATGAGGGAAACTAGGCTAGTGGAGACTGTTAAATAGATCCCTGCTGGTGAATCTGCTCAAGGTTGAGAATGCCCCTGGTGTGCAAAGAGACACACTGAATGCCATTGTTTTGCTCTCCATTGCACATGGCTTACTAGGAGTCTGGGCAGTCTCTCCAGCTCCAGTTTCTTATCTTCTGACTCCAGCCACAGCTGCTCCTGCTGATTAGTGGATCACCCTCATATGCTTCAATGCTAGAAGTTTCCTCAGGCTGAGATCCATTCAGCTCTCCCCCAGCATGCTCCCCAGTGTCAGAATCCTCTGAGTTGAAACTGGCCATGATAGTAAGGTCCACAAAAGCATTAAAGCATCAGAAATAACACTGTATTGCTTGCTATCATTAGTTTATCCATGCCCAACAGATGAAAACAGAATTTTCTATTCATAAAAGATATATAGAGCAGAGCCCCATAAATGGCTAGGTATTCTTTTATTGTAAAATCATTTTTCCAAGCATCCTACATTGCTTTCCATACTTCCATTACATCCAAAGGAAGTCATCATGAGAAAACTCTTCCAGAAGGCTTTCTGAGTACTCTGATACTTTTCCATGCAAAATGAGTGTCTGCCCTTATAACATTTTTGAGATTGCACCTTCCCCTTGAGAATCTAAGCATCCTACATTGCTTTCCATACTTCCATTACATCCAAAGGAAGTCATCATGAGAAAACTCTTCCAGAAGGCTTTCTGAGTACTCTGATACTTTTCCATGCAAAATGAGTGTCTGCCCTTATAACATTTTTGAGATTGCACCTTCCCCTTGAGAAATTCAAGAAATTACTCCCCAATAGCTTCAATTCAGTGTAGATTTTCAAAGGGCAACTATCCCACATGAAGCAAAAACTTAATGGCCTCCTCTGCAGAAACGGGGAAAAAAATTTTTTTCAGGAATAATGCAAGTGAATGAATGAAGGGGAGTTCTGGTAAGAGCTGAGGAGTTAACATTAGGAAGAGAAAAGGGAGAGAGGAGAGTGATCAGAAAAGTTGCATGCTATGAGGGCTTCTGTGCTCAGCTATGAGGTATAGAAAGATATTTTCTGACTTGGTTAGACTCTGTCCTGAGAGCTGTTGATTCCCCATTGTGGGTCACAGAATGACTGCTTCCCACAGAGTAAACAGAAGTTGCTACAGAGCATGAAGGATGACTATAAGATAATAAGAATGCAGGGAGTAAGCCAACTGAGTAAGTGAATAGGAAAAGCTAAGTATAGTTTCACAATGGTGTTAAGTGGAAGAATCTAAGAAGTAGGCCTTAAAAATGTATTTGTAACTTGATAGCTTCTACCATCTTAAATTTGAATCTAAGAATGGAACATGAAGACTTTGTACTGATGGGACTTCAAACAAGATAAAATTTGAAATGATTACACAGGATTTTGTGGTCACCACATACAATGGATAGGGAAGGAATGAAAATTAAGGAAGCAAGTCAAAAAATGAAATTCATCCACCCTTTTACATTACACTAAAGGGAAATGTCAGATAAGATTCTCTCTCCTGAGTTCAAACATTAAGTGTGGTGGAGGAGTTTTCTTGATGAAAGAAGTTAAACCTCAACTATGTTTTCATACATGAAGCTTTAATTATTCATAACATTTTATTTTCTAAGATAAACAGTTTACTAACACTACCTAACCTCATGTCTTAGGTACTCTGCTGATAAGAGAAGAATTGATAAATAATGAGATAACATAATATAAGATCAAACTACAGCATAAAAATTCCAAAATTAGCATTTTGGACTACTGGCAGTTATATGTTATTTGTGGTAATATCTATCTGAAAATACATTAATGAAACAATCATGGCACTTCTAACCAAATCATGTGAGAATTCAGGCTATGTCATAATGATCTGACATCATAATGGTAAAAAAATGGAAAGCTAAAAATGACTCACTAACAAATGTGTCCTTGATTTGCAATGTTATACAAAGTAAGAAATTACAGTTTCTGGTTTTGTCTTCACCATGAACCAGGACTTCTCACTGGCCTTTTATACAATATCGGGGGGGCGGGGAGGAGAGTCACTTGAATTTAAAAAATTGCCATATGAGCCACATCACTGGAACAATGTTCTTCTGTGAATTGTGCATCAAGACTATTCACTACTTACAGTTCTAGTTAATAAATTTTATCACCAAATATACACCAAAGTTATATCTGATTTTTATCTCAATAATATATAAACAGAAGCCACAAGAAGAGAAGCAAAATAAAATATCAAACCATGTCATACTATTATAGAATATAAAAACAAAGCCACAACATAATGGACAATTATACTGAATCAGCTTCAAGGATTATATAAATTATCCATATAAATGATCCAGAGCAGCATGAAAACCCATAAAAATGTTTACAGAATGCATAAAAGATTGAGAGGAGTTTCTACATCCAAATAGACAATATCAAGATATTTTCAAATCAAGTGCCTACTCTACAAGAAATCATCATCCAAATTCATGATGAGTATGAAATAGGCAGAAAAAGCTGGAAGTCAGTTGAGTTTCAATCTTCGTAAAAAAGCATACTACGTATACTACATAATTTTGACTCCAGAGTTTCACACTTACATTCAAAATGTGACTAGCTAATAAATTGAAAAGAAATTGATACTTTCAAGTGACTTCTGCCAAAGATCATGTTACCACAAAGTCTTTTTAGGGCTTTGTGGACTTCTTTATTTCTTAAAGTATAGATTAGGGGATTGATCAAAGGTGTCATCACTGTATAGAAAATGGAGAATATTTTATTGAGATGTCTCAGAGTGGGGGAGTCTGGCAACACATAGACAATGATTATTGTGCCATAATAGAGACAAACTACCATGAGGTGAGAGGAGCAGGTTGAAAAGGCTTTTTGCCTTCCAATGGTGGATTTGATTTTGATAATGGTGACAATGATGCAGATATAAGAGATGAGGGTCAACAAAAAGGGAGGAATTGCAAAAATAAAACTCATGAGAAAAGTGATAATTTCAAGGAGACCTGTATCAGTACAGGACAGTTTCTTCAGTGGATAGAAGTCACAAAAATAATGGTCTATGACGTTAGGGCCACAGAAGGATAACTGAGCCAGGAGAGCCACCAGCATTATGTTAAATGTTAAACTATTTACACACGTCCCAGCGATAAGCTGGAAACAGAATTTCCTATTCATAGCAGAAGCATAGAGCAAAGGCTTACAAATTGCCAAATAGCGGTCATAAGACATGGCAGCCAAAAGATAGGTTTCTGTACCTGCACAAAGCCCAAAGAAATAATATTGGGCTAGGCATCCATGTATGGTAATAGTTCTCTCACCAGTCAGCAGGCTAGCCAACAGCTTTGGCAAGATGGTAGAGCTATAGCAAGCATCCAGAGAAGACAAATGTCCCAGGAAGAAGTACATTGGGGTGTGAAGGTGCTGATCAGCCACAACTAGCAGAAAGATGAGAAGGTTTCCAATTAGTGTCATCAGATAAATCACCAAGAAGAACCAGAAAAGAAGAAGCTGCACTTTAGGGAAAGTCCCAAAACCCAGAAGGATGAATTCTGTAATTCCTGTCTGATTTCCTTTTTCTGTATCTGGCATCATGAAATGTCACATCAAATCTAGAATATATAAAAAAAAGGAGACAATTTAAAATGCAAATTTCTGAAGCACTCATTTTCTCTCTCTCACTATGTCTAAAATATCTGGAGAATGTGGGTAATTAATGTCCAATCATATACCAGGAAGAATAGATTTAGCTAGAATAATATGGCTAAAAACAGAATACCCCATTTTTGTCTTACCTATTTTGTAGAAGAGATGATATATTTAAATCATGAGACCTTTGCAGGATAGCTCAGGGGCTTAATCATTACCCTTTCTCATGTCTCTCCAAAATATACTGTATCTCCTTTCAATCCTCTGTTGTTTTCTAAAATGTGTTTAGCTATGATTCCAAGGCAAAATAAGTAATTTCTTACAGTATAGATTAGGGGATTAACCAAAGGTGTCATCACCGTATATAATTTTTCTTTAGTGAATCTTAAATCAATTTCTTCTACAAATGGTACTACTCAAAAAGCTCACAATAAATGAGATTCCAAAGTAATCTGTGACACAAAAAATTATCCTTTTCAAGGAACCAAAAGAATATCTTCTCAAAAGGACAATACCACATATTTGATCAAAAATCAGTTCAAATCTTTGTTCCAAACACTTTGGATTAACTAATAATTCCATGTTAACATTTTATTTATAGCTATAGGAAGCAGGTTGCAGAAGGAAATTGTTGATAATTTTCTAGCAGCTTTATATAAAAACCGAATTATAGATTATAAATAAAAAAATAAACACACAAATAAATAAGGTTATGGAAGTTCAGTGCTTATAATCAGAATAAGTATCAAACCCTGAGCCCTCTAAAAGTAGGTAGAAGGCAAATAACTTTAATTTAAGACCAACCTGTGCCGTGAATAAGGAGAAGGGTTATGAGTTCTGCATGCAAGCCCAATAGATTATGCAGTGAAGTAAAACATGATCTACCAATTCTATGGCAAAGTCAGAGCACCTAAGAAACATTCTGCATAAGGGATCTTATAGTCAAACACATTCCAGGATTCAGTACCTTTACTGCTGAATCTTCACTCCAAGCAAACCAGAATATTTTCTTCTATGAGACAGAAATGCTTCTAAAATAGCTTTCCATAAACATTAAAAATAATTAATCCTGAGAGACTTGCTGCTGATTTTCTGGTTTTGAATGCAACTCATTGATGAAACCCAAAGGAAATCCTTATTTTAATATTTGCTTCTCAGGATTGCCAAATTGTTTAGAACTTACCAATTCTAAGCATTTATTGACCCACTGAAACCTTTTTCAGGGAATTCATCCTGAGAATAGATAGGATCACATTCATCCATAGACAATAACATTATTCTATGCTATCTACTGATTTAATGCTGGATGCTAAGGACTGCTTGCTTATTAGTCAATCCTATTCCAGGAAAAATGTGAGAACTGCCTACTTCTCAAGACAGTATACTCCCAGGAACTGTTAGGTGTAATTTTTCATACTTCGTTTTGAATTTCTTGGTGAATCAGAATCTTTTTTACTTCCATTAGAATTTTTGCTGAAATCTGGAAACTTCATTCAGCTACAGTGAGACATAGATTTTGGGGAATGGACTTTTTATAGTGCAATATATGCCCCATTCTTTATGGTCTCAATCTGCTCTCATAAGTCACATCCTGAAATAATAAAACTTACTGAGAAATATGTAGCTCTTGGGAAAGACAAAAATAACTAAAGTCTGAAGAAAAGAATAAGAAGACTCTTCCTTTGATTTCCTGTGCAAAGTCTGAATGGACCAGCAACCTGCACTGAAAACAGTTAATCATATGACAACATCTCTAAATCCATGATTAGTAAGATGTGTTAGGAAGTAAGTTAAAGTAATTATGCAAAAATTCCAATGAGTATTCCACTTTCAAAGAAGAAAGCTATATATAGACATTTAGGACAGATTCTGGTTCTTTTTCTCACACTCTTTTGATGTAAAGGGAAGGAGGCCTATCGCTTTTGTGAAAACGGGACAGCCTGGACCTGTTGATTGCTTAGGAAATAGCACTACACTTATCAGTGTAAGATCCAACTCTCATACTACCTCCCCCTTCAAATGCTTCTCCTTCCCCCTCCCTAGAGAAATCTGGAAATTCTTTCCTTTCCTCCTCTCTTCTGGGAAAAATCTTTGGCTGGTCTAGAATTTTCTCTACTCCTTTTAATGCTGCAGAGTCAGGAGAAGACATCACTCTGAGATATCCAGAAGCAGTCCCAGGCAGGGGGATCCTCATAGTCCAACATCTGGGCTAGATAATTCATCCAAATTAGAACCCCTTTCCCAAGCATCTGGCAGAAGTGGGCAGTGAGAGATCATCCATATCAACTATACAATCAGGGAAAGAGAAGGAATGTCCAGGTTAGGTTCCCAGCCATGCCCTCTACTGTCCCTGTTCAGAAATCTGATCTGAAGATGTTAGGCTGGGAAGAGAGGAGCTTCACATAAACAGTTAATCTCCACCCCTCCCCTCTCCCTGGAGTCCTAAATCTTCTTTCACTTCAGAAGTTGAAGATGCCACAGAAAACTCTAGTGAATAAGAAGACCAGTTTAGGGGGCTTAGTTTTGTGTTAGTACTGAAAATTTAATTAGTGAAGAAGATGATTACATGGAGATTGTGTGCTATTTCTAGGATCTGACAGTGTCTGGGAATCATTTGCAGTGATTCAGATATTCCAGTTTGCTCCTTTTGTCTCTGAATCCAAACTGTGTTCCAACTGGAATTCTTCCTCCTCAACTGAGATGACAGAGAAAAGTGAGTCACTGATCATAAGAGGCATGAAGAGCATTCAAGGTCCACATGGGAGCATTGGAAAACTGGATGTGTCTTCATGACAGTTAATAGCTGCAAGTAAAAGGCCACTGAACTGATATGAGCCATGACAAAGAAGACATTAGAATAATGTCAAAAGAATAATCACCATCTTCAACATTAGATGGGTCAGTCCACTAGGATGGTAATGTAGTTTTTAGCCAGTAGATAAAGATATTTAACCAGAAATTGGATTCAGGTTTACTGATTCCTGTTTCCCATCAGGAAAATATAATATTGTTGTTTAGTCGTTAAGTCGTGTCCGACTCTCCGTGACCCCATGAACCATACTGCGTCAGGCCTTCCGGTCCTTCACTGCCTCCCTGAGTTTGCTCAGTTTCATGCTCATTGCTTCAG